GGTGCTAGTCCATGTGACCTTAAAATAAGCAGCTGAGAAATTTTTTGAATAGGTTATATTGGCTAAATATGAGTATATTTCATAATAATAACTTTTTGTGTTAATACTGTTATTACATGCATAATTACCCGAATAGCAAGCTCGGGAGCACAAAAATTCAGGCTCGGTTGAGTCAAGAGTGGGCCGTCCTGGGTCCATATAGGTATTCGAGCTGAAGAACTTTCATCTGATGAAGACAATTGCTCAGAGAACTCAAATCCGCATAATTTCCAAGTACCAACTCGATTGAGAACAATGGAGGCCGGAGTCAAATTTAAATGCGCTTGATGGCAATCGTTGTGCAAAAATCCGAGGGCCTCGCACAACTAAGAGTAAAAAATAATAGCATGCATATGTTTAATATAAAAACAGCGATTTTATGCATGAACAAGTCTGCGGTAATTAGAGGACCGACAAAATATATACACTGAAGTGATGCAGGAATTAAAGTAAAAACCTGCATTAACAAGGGCTACATTTGAATTTAGATTGTGGCAAATAACGAATGACTATCCAAAAAAAGCCAAATTGCAATAGATTCGCTGCAAACAAGTAAAATTCGTAAGAAATTTGATTTAGATCAAATATAAAGAATTTCTACCTGTAGCATTCCGTACTTAATCTCAACTTCCGAAAATTCGTAATTTGATATCGAACAAATTATAGCATCACTGAGATTCGAGGTAGCCCCAATAAGGTTAGCAAGTGAAGCAAGCAGGGGTTCAGTAGCAAAGGCAAAACTTTCCCGAGACTCCTCCAATGGATGCACGACAGAAAGGATCTTGGGGTGACGAAGGCGAGTCAGGTTCGATATTCCACGTCTCATTGAGTCTAAGATAAACTCTTTCTGCCCCTTATTGGCCACATCGAATTGTTTCTTTTCAAGAATCCAGACGGTGACGTCCTGGAATTGATTTAAAGGAAGCACGTACCTGTTTAGTAGAACGTTTTCGAGCAGAGAAAAGTTTCCAGGCTAGACCAGGGCCAGCAGAGGCTACTTGCTTATCTAATTCATATTCCCTGCTTACAGGATTGCCTGGGAGAGCCCCAGAGACAGTAGACTTGATTTTGTTAATTTTATCAATGACGGAATCCATGTCAGGTGATCAAAAATAGGGTGACAAAAAATTGAGTGGGAAGGCAGATCCAGCAATTAATTTTTGCCTCAACATTTAATTCTAAAAACAGTAAAATAAAAATTAAATAATTGAAAAAATAAACAAGAGTTTA